CCAATGTTTATTATATGCCAGGACTGTAACAATTGCTATGAGATTAGGATACTGAGCAGCACCGCACAGCAGAGGTCACATGTCCCTGGTGATTTAAAGGTTCAGTCTTTCAGTAACTCAATTTAGAAACCAACACAAAGGGTACTTTTGTTAGAAAAGTATATTTTGATAGCATTTCAAAGCATGGCAATAAAATAACTATAGATCACAAATTTAAAATGTAGAGTTTATCACCTAGCAAACTGAGGAATATTTTTTTTTTCCTATTAACCTCTTGGTTAGGTCACCTTTGCATTCCCGGGGCTAAGTGATAACGTGTTTTGCATTACAGCTCAGCATCAGAGATTCCTAACATCCTGGACCAAGGGGTTAATTAAACTTTCCAAACAGCCTACGGAGCCACCTCACAAGGCTTTTGACAGCTCTAGATCAATGACATTACACACTACCTTTATGCAAAGGCACAAAAATGCTGTTTCACTATAGGGTTCCTCATGAAAATACAAAACATCTTCAAAAATAAGTACAAGGAAGCTCACTTAAGGTCCAGGAGTTGTCTCAAGACCCACCATGCCCTGAAAGAATCAGTCAGCTCAGTTTTAGAAAAGGGATGAACCAAGAACTGAATCTGGTATTGTGTAATCTTGCTGCTTTTATGTATCTGCGTAGAACTAAGTATTATTTCTGTTCCAAAAGTTTCAGCATAGGTGCTAGACACAGGCTTTTTCCTGAGATTGCAGTATACATTTAGTCACAGCTCCGATAATGAAAGTATTTAATGAATGTAGTTGTTTTCCTGATATACAAGATCAATTTACTTTGCCGTCTGTTGTCTAGCAGTGGGTTGGTGAGCTATGATGGTGCAACATGCCAGAAAACATCTAAAAGTAAAATATAATGCTCGCTTAACCAATGCTACGCACAAACAGTTAGCAGAGTCAACTTCTGTTGTTCTTTGGACAGCACATATGCACATCCAGTACTCAGGCAGGCAATACATGCCTCAGAACCAACCAAACAAGAAAACACAAACACTGTGCAGTCTGCACCACAATAAAACAGTCCTTAGATTCTCGAGACTTAACCAATCAGTAATAACCAGTGTCATCTGCATTTCAAATCGCCAGGGTATTAACCTACTTTTCTCCAAGTGCCATGGCCATTAAAAGCTGCAGCCAAGAGTTCCAGTTAATACTGGGTAAAACAACAGGACTTTCTTAAAAACAGCGATTACAAAAATAAAAGCATGATTTCTTGATGGTCTCCCTGAATCACAGTCACCTAAATAAAGCTTCAATCCAGGAAAAGCTTAGCAGGAAAGCAATCGTTCTTTTTTTTTTTTTGTATGTGCAAAAAAAGACCAGGAACTACAAGTAAATAGCAGCTGAGCAACAGATGAGGCACTAAGTGAAATCTGTTAGCAACTGCTAACAGCTTTGCTATTTTCTGTTGTTAAATTAAAAAAAAAAAGAAGTAAAAAACCAATGCAATACCAATTCCAATATGTTCAAAAATCTTAGATGCAAAAGACTAAAGCTCAATGCTTCTTGTACTACACATAAACACTTGGGTTTGGTTTTAATATCTTGAAATGCTTTGTTACTGATTGTAAGGCAGACACAAGACAAATTCATATGGACATAACATCAAGATAAAACTTGTTATAGCTGTGTATGTGACCCAGTAAGTATAGCACAAAACCCCACCGTAGACAAGCGCGATTTCCCCAGCAGCTGCTTTAGCCTCAAATTCTACTTTCCTTTGTCCTTTACATCTGACCCCTAGTTGTTCGCCAGAAAGCGCATGTGTCTTCATTAGCACTGAGCTTTCTGGCAAGATCTCAGAAATATTTCCATTGTCCTTCTGGTCCTGGAGATTTCACCACCACAGATGACCATCTCCTGCTTATCTCAACCCAATCTTGACATGGGTTCAGCAAGTCTGTTTTCCTGTTTGGATGCATCTACACAGAACAGCAGAACTCTACAGGCACAGCTAAAACAGCTCTGAACAAAGTAGGGCACAAATTATGAGCAGTATGAACATATCAGTGTGGGGCTCCAGCTCCCGGTAGGATCAATTAGTTACATGGCTGCAATCACTGGACTAGTTTAAAAAATTCATGGCGTCACCTGCTCTCAGGCAGATATATCCTCTTCCCACTCCTGCCAGTTCCTTTTTTAACTTCTTTTCTCTTGGGTCTTTCCGTCCTGTCAGTCTAGCAGGGGCTCTGTTCCTTGTTCCTTGTTTTGGTGGTCTCCCATGGTACAGCTATCACCATATCTACCAAGGGCACACTACAGATTTCCTTCTCCATCCAGCTTTCCACTCCCTTATGGTGTTTGCTTTTCTCATGCCTCCTATGGCAGGTTCCCTTTCCAATTTAAACTCAGCATGTCAAAAACTGACTACTACTTTCTCTTAAGCTACCAAGAATTAGTAGTCACCTTCCTGCTGCAGAAGATCACAACTTTTTTGTCTTCAGCTTCTCTCTTTCCTTCCACAGATGTTCTACCAGTACAACATGCCAGTTTCATCTCCATAATGTCATAAAAATTCTGGTTGTTTTTTCCCATCCGTGCTGCTAAAATACTTGATCCTTCAAATCTTCTTATTGCAGTCTCCTCCTCCCTCACCCTCCTGACACTTACTCCTCACTCTTCATATCAGTGGAAAACTCCAGTTTGAAAAATACCTCTTGAATCTAGTATTTAGTCAGTATTTGTCCCCTTCTAAGTTCCCCCTTTAGTTTCCCATTTCTTTTAAAAACATTTGGATTAATTGTTTCTGTTTTTCATATCATCTACAGCAGTTTCTCTCTGAAAAAATACCAGCCTGGTTTCACTCATCTTGAGCAGGACATATGGTCCCGAGTTCTTTCGTATACTCACACTGTTTGCTCTTGTTTAATACTTTACAGGTCATCACCCTTTCATTTTTATTGTGGCGGGGGTTCCCTAGGACTCTCACCTTCTCAGGAAGGGATTTCTTTTCAAGAACAATTTTATAAATTCTAGGAAGAAACACTGACGAGGACATAGAACCTCTAGAAACCTCACAACTGAACTGTAAGCTCTTACAAACAACTCCTCTGTTCATTATAACCTGTTGCTTCCATCTTTGTGGCTTTGTAGAGATTTTCAATGGTATGGGATAGAAATACCTATTCTGTGCTGCTATACAGATAAATAAATCTTATTACCAATTACTATCTGCTGAGAAGGCTATCAACCTAAACAAAAAGCAAGCTTATGAAAAGAACAGATCTTGTGTACAACCAAAATGTGAAATACATTCTGAAAAAGGGAATCAGTAAGAACGGTAACCTATTGTTCCTAGCTTTGCATATTGATCATTATCACATTTTTTTGTCAACCACAAAAGCTTGTTTTGGATTCTGATGTCATCCCATGTTCTTTCTGGCTCAGGAATCACACCCCCATAAGTAAGACTTTGCACTTCAAGCTTTGAATCTGCCAGTGATACATGAAACAGAATTACTTATGCTTTTGTCAGACCTCTGTGTCATTCCCTTCCTCTTCCAACAGTCCTATTCACGCCAAAGAGTTAAAAGGCAGAAGGAAAATAGACATAAGGCTTAAGATACACAAAAGAGTTGTTGAAGTCACCCTCCTAATTATTCAGTGTTTTGACTGCTGTTCCATGTTAAGCCCTATTTCTTTAAACAGTATGAACACAAACACACGTGCAATGCACAGGTGTGAGTATGTGCCTCCTCTGCATTCCTGAAGAGCCCCATTTGAATGCAGACTGGTGTACCCACACACCTTCATCTTACCAACACTAACGACTGCTGAAATCATGCAAATTTGGCACATAAGCATGCCTGTATCTTTTTGACAATACCCCTACAGCGTTTGAAAATTAATAGGATAATTTTGAGGATTGACGATACATGGAAGAAAGTCACCTAAAACCTTCCACGTCAATGTAACACAAGCCATTTGGCTCCAGAGGACCTATCAACAGAAAGCTGCAACGTGAGTTCAAGTATCACGGTGCTAACGAGTATCATTATAAGTGAATGATCTTGTTGCTGAATTTCTTAGATTACCAGTTAAATGTACCTTTGCCTAAGCAATGATTGTGGCTTTTATATGTATCTGGCTTGTCTGCAACACAGCATGCTAAGAGACACCAATAGTCTCCTAAAGTCAACATTGAGTGTTCAGTGCCACAAGTAACGACATGGTCATACAGACTAATCTCTTCCAGGTGACCATTAAATTGCATTCACAGACCTTACATTAATTGCAAAGATCCACTGAAATGGTGACACTTTAATCCTCAATAGCCTCAAAACAGGTACCAGCGGCAGCAGTGATAGCAACCACTGCCTACAGCACCAAAGGTGTCAGCAATAGCAAGGAAATGGCCTCAAGAACTTTGTCTAATCTCTGATGATCCCAAAGATGCAAAACCAACCAATAGCCACCGAAGAAACCCAAACACTTGCATGATGGGCAGGGAGGATGGTGAGCTTTTGACCACTCCAGGCAATGGCTGAAGCAATGAAGCAAAGATTTTATCATAGCTAGCGTTTTCCAGCAACTGCAAACGTTACTGGACTATTCACCGTAAGACACGCAATCCTGCTCTCTCCAAGGCTTGTGAAGGAAGCAGATAAGCACGGGAAGAGAAGGGGAAGGTCTGAGCGTGGGAGTGGGTCACGTACTACTCAGAAATATTCCCCACAAAGCCTCCCCCACCGACACACGCTTGTTTTAAGCCTGAAACCTTGAATCTTTTCTGACATATGGGAATGAATTTCAAAGGCACAAAAAGACATTTTGTCTGCCAAATGTCTTCTGCCTCAGCTACAAGTTTGGTGTAAAAGTATAAACTGCTTTCTTTTTAAATAACATAAACATTAGTTTGAGTCCAAGTAAAATAATTTTTCTACTACTTTATAAGAGTATCAGTTGTTTCCTACGTTATAATGAGAATGGCTGGCTGTTTTGCTTTTTAAAATGCTGTACCTCAACATGACACCAAAACCCTTCTTCTTTTTCTTTTCTGGATCTTCATTTTCTTCCTTCCTTTTCTTCTCTTTGATTTTAGATTTGCCCTTTTCCTTTTTCTTCTCTTTCTCTCTATTTTTTTTGTCTTTTTTTGCTTTAGTTTCTGCATCTTCTATTTCAAGGTTCCCTGGAGGGGCTGATTCCATGTTCTGAGCTTCTTGACCAGAATGAGAGCTCTTATCAGAGAAACCATCTGCACAAAATGAAACAGTGAAACATAAGCAGTGAGGATGACCAGGGGCCACCAAAATGCAAACACATCAAATATAGCATGAGTGTCTACAAAGTGTTCAAATGACTCACAACACTTACTCATTTAATTGAATAATTTAAAAAGCAGGCTATACATTATCTAGTGAATTCAAGCAGATTTCTATTGTAAATTAAATATAGAGTTATTTTAGTGACTTGTTTTCCAGTTATTACTCCTGATACAAAAAACCTGACAGGGTAAAACACTGTTCTGTTCGAAATCTAGCTTGTTAACCTCCATCAGCTCGAGAAAATTGACATGCTGGGATGCAAACATTGAGAGCTTACTTCAAGAAGAGATTCTGGCGACTGATATAACCAACTTGCATAACAAAACGATTTCATTCACTCCCTGGAATCTTTCTATTTTAATGGCTGAACAAGAAATAGATAAACTGTTCTGCCTGGTTGGAGAAGAGCTGTGTTGTTTCTATTTGGTGGAGCTCAGGATCTAAGCAAAGTTTTATGCTTCATGCTAAAGAAGACATATTTCCAGACTGGGGTCTATAAGCCCATGGTGACAGAACGAGCAGCAGAGTGCTATCAATACACTCTGCCTTGTCTATAACAGGAAACAAATTTCCTGGTTGGAGAAGGGGGAATTGTAGGCTGCTCTGTAAAACAAGCAAGATAATTTTTAATGTAATCTGAAGACGACAGCTGCTTCTTGAAGTTGAAAAATATAATTATTTAAGGATTGACTTCTAAATCCTCCAACATCCCTGCCCCGAAGGAGATCAGCAAAAAACTTTACACTAAACCCAGTCAAGGTTGGATGGGGTACTGCAAAGGCAGCTCTATTCAGTGGAAGACATAAGCAGCTTTTAAAATGTCATCAACTTCAATTGCACTAAATCACTTGCTTATGTGCTTAACATTGAGTTGGCCCTCAGCAGTGCTAAGTGAAGGTGGCTCCCTCAGTAAGTGCCATTAGCAACATACCCTCTTCTCCATCTTCAGGTCCATCATAAGACTTGTCAATGGCAGCTCGGAAACTCTCATTACATCCCCGACCACGGACCACATGAGGCCTGGGTCTATGAAAAGGGAGTTCGTTCTTCCTCACTTCAGCCACAGCAGTTTGAAGACTCTCAAGAGAACTGGACTTCTTCAATCCCAGGGTAGGACCGAAATCTTTGCCAGAAGAGTCTGGAAAACAAATAGTTATGTTTTTATACCTAAAACCACACAGAGAAATGAAACTAGTCAGACAGTTACATTTAATTGTGTAGTTTATTACTTGTGGCTTTTAAAATAGTATGCAATCAATGTCATTTGTTCTAAAAATAACATTGAGTCAAACCTAGTTCAGTAGGTATCCCTGTTCAGACTTGGAGGGAATGGCACACAATTTTCAACCTGACAACAGTGACGGGCAATAGCGGGCTTGCTCTGTGTCACTTTAAAGCCTGTACCAGTGATAAAGACGGGGTTGCTTCTTCCCCCTTGAATACTGCTAATAATCTCAAAGAGAATTATCCTTAGTCTCACAAAACCGAACACTGCTACACAAAGAGAGTTTTGGTTTTTAGAATGAGTCAGGTTGTATGAATGGTTGATATTTTCAAATACATTTCTCCTGTAAGAAGATATTATTAGTTCTCTCACAGTCTTATCCAACCTTTTTCTTCGAACTGAAACTGGTGCTATGATATCAACATACACAGCAGGTTTTTCAAGAAACAAGTATTTCCAGAAAAGTACAGCTTAACATAAATGATGTTGCTGCCTCTTTCCTTGTTTATAGGCATATGAAAGTACTTCAATCAAAGAAGAGCAAATACCTTCCCAAGTCTCCAAAATCTTTCTTCTCTTTGAATGCTTGACTATCTGACCTTAGAAAGGGTTTATTTGGTGGCAGTATTAGTGTTAATTAGTATTACTATAATACAGTAGAATAGGCAAAGAAAAACGTTAAATGAATACATGCATATCAAACAATGATGAAATTTACAGCTTAAATTTAAAAGCCTTTGTAGCATCTACTTCGTTTTTATATGACAGAACAGTAAACGTGACATAGCATCACTGAGGAAGAGACTTTGCCTTGCAACATGCCTTCTGTCTTTGAGCACACAAATGCTTTTGCTTTCAACTTTTAAGTGATAAAAAAGCAAGCAACAGGAGAATATAAGAACAGAAGACCTTTATATGCATGTCCGTTTACTGTCATGCCTGAAGAGATTCAAGGATCATAGAAAAGACAAGTATGCTAGTGCTATATGCTGTGATTTTAGCAATCCTAGAGCGCAGGCATTTCTAAACTAAAACAATGTGATCAGTGAATTCTTAAAAGGAAAAAAGCAAAGAATGAGCACCAAACAGAGACTCATCAGTAGTGTCTACGTAAAGCAATTTACACTTCTATTACCTGCAGACTGATAGTAGCTGAAAATAAGGAGGGGGGTTGTGGGGGGGCTCTCAGAGACAAACAAGCTCCAGGGAAGGCTGGTGGCTCAGTCACACAGTACAGCCTTCCTACCATTATTGCCAAATTAGCAAGCGCTAAAACGGAGTTAGAGTAATGACTTGCATAGGTGCTTAAAATCACTAAAAACTTGGCATTAGTCAGAGGCACTGCGGTGCCTATCTCAGGCTGAGGAGCAAAACCAAGGGAAACATAATCACTGTAAAAGGCGGCAAAGTGAAAGCTACTCTGATGAGCAGAGAAAAAGCTTTTTTTGTTTTTCAGTCCGAAAACAGCTTTGACGGGCTGCTTTCGCAGAAACCAGGGCAGAGCAGTACGGGCGGCAGAGCGCAGCCCGGGCAGAGGTGGGTGAACGCGCGCCAAGGGCTTCGG